TGCACCGGTGTGGGGTGGAGTTGTGCGCTATCGCAAATATAGAGACATGTGTCAACATGTATTGAGAAGAATGGCTATCAGGGTGTGCTGTGCTTTCCGTACTGTGTCTACTGAGGCTGTACTGGTTATTGCAGGAATAGCTCCAATCGAACTTCAGGTGGAGGCCAGACAAAAGACGCTGAACAGTTGGCAAAATAGGTGGGAGGCCATGCGTGAAGTGGCTCAGTGGACTAAACGCCTCATACCAAACCTAATACTGTGGATGAACAGAAAACATGGCGAGGTTAACTATCACCTCGGTCTGCTACTGACTGGACATGGTTGCTTTCAGGCATACTTCTGTAGATTTAAGCTGGAAGATACACCGGAATGCCTCTACTGTAGGGATTTTGATGACGCAGAGCACACATTTTTTCAATGCTTCCGATGGCAGTGACGCACGCAAAACCACGGAAACTACGCACTACCACGGAAGTGGAAATAGGAGAAAAGATTACCCCTGATAGTCTCCTCAGGCTCATGTTGGCAAGCGAAGAGCACTGGAAACTTATCTCCGACATAGCGAAAAAAGTCATCTCACAAAAACAGAGGAACAGACTGGAGAGCAGGCAACGCAGCTAAGGGAACAGCCAGAGAGTGAGAAGTAATACCTACCGGTGGTTCCTCACTCAACTGGCAGAAACGAAACCAGAGGCGGGTTTTTAGTGGGTAAAAATCCCACACTACCTGCCGTCAGACATCAGGCAGGTGTCTTTCGAAGATTTTTCCCCTCTCAAAAAAAAAATATATATTTGGGTAACTACTAAAATCAGTTATCCACTATCTTTACTGGACATTTTAAAATGTCTTGCACTGTTCTAATTATCACCTAAAATTCATAAATAATAGAATCTCTAAATTTTCCTACCAAAAGTATCTTGGTGCTTTTCTATAGTTGAATTCAAAACTGTACTAAATAATCTTAATTTTTTTAAATTCAGAATAAAATTTGGTTCATGAGTGAAATTCTCCATGAATTGGAAAACAATGTTCCTAATTCCTATTGTTAAACCTGTAAAACCCTCCCAGTTCACTTATAGCCCTATAATATGCCTCTTCTTAAGTCAAATATGCAAAATTCTAAAACAATAACAGGCTAACATGGTTCTTTTATGAAATCAGTATTTTCTACCCAATGCAACATAGTTTTTCAAAAAATAGAAGTACATTGATCACTTATTAGTAGGAGTGACGTGAGTGAGATGGATATTGATAAACTTGTTTTTTTTAACAAACACATGTCAAGGTTGGGCAAGTGCATCCTTAAAATATATTAGTATCACTGTAGCGGATCATGAAACAAAACACTTTTTGGATAATTACCTGAATATTTTTTTGGATACTCCTTTGAATGTTTGTGTTTCGACTTTGATAACTTTGAGCTAAAGTTACAAGATACAAATTTTCGTGACTAGAAAAAACTTACTCCAGGAAATGGGACAAGTGCATATTTGGCTGTTAGGTTAGGTAGTACGTCTCAAGAGTACGTCTATCTGTTATCCGTTCTATATCTACGGGGCATCCGTAGCGCTTTCAGATGGAGCGCGCGGATGTTTTTTCAATATAGCTCATCCTGACGGAGCATACGCGACCCATGTGAAATCGTTCATATAAACTCATGGTACTTGCTCGAAGTCGTGGACGGTCCGTCGTGGACGCTCCGCTCCATCTGAAAACGCTGTAAGAGGGGAAACTAAAAGAATAAGAATATAACGAAAAAAAAAAATAAGAGGGGATATTCTCTGTTATTCATGGGTGTGCCATAAATATTTTAGATAACATTACTTATACAAAAAATTAAAAAAAATACTCAATTAGTTTTATTTTTTCAATGTTTTTCCACGTAAATGAGACAATCTTTATAAAAATTAAAATATCAAGAAGAACAGCAATAAAAATTCAATAAAATCACACAACTATTTCACGGATAACCACTGCACTGTTCTTTTTGGCTTCTTTGCTACCCGTTGTTTATGTTTCTCGTAAAAAAATTAGACGACGCGTCCCATCAATAAAAATACGACAAATTTGTAAGTAGCCAATGAAATGAGTGGGCGGTGTGATTTACGGTAACATACTTCTGCCGCTTCTATAGTATAGGTAGCGATTTATAAAATACTAGTTGAAGCCTGGCGTACCCGCCACGACATCAGGAAAAAAATAATTTTTTTTTTTATAATTAAATGAAAAACAAAAAATCCGGCGACGACAGTTTTTAGAAGAACCAGTTAGCTATCTTTTAGTAAAAAAAGCAACTTTCTAGAGCAAGTCGTTACTTCAGTAGAGACGACACAGATAAACATTAGCATTTTATATATGTACATATTGCTGTTTATTTAAATGTTTTTTGTCCACATTCTTGCAATTCCTTTCATAGACACAGATCCAGTAGACGTACTCAAGAAATAGCCAGTCTTTTGCAAGATTTAAGTTAAGCAGAGTAGATAATGTACAGAAGGCATACAGCGTACCGAATGACATTCTGCTATTAATTATTATAGTTGGAAAATTTGTTGGTCAAGCGAGATTATTAATCGATAGATCTCGTTGCAAAAAATCTCCGATCTAGATATTATAGTTCTCTGTTGTCTGTGTCTGTTCTCTCCGAAACTTCTAATTCACGCTCAGCCTGGGATACCCTGTATGTTCTCAAAATGTTTACAAAGTATTTAAATTTCTTTCATGAAAGTGGAGTCCTAGAAATATTCTTCGAAATATTCCAACTCATATATTTAATCCACTCTTGCCGTTTTTGTACCACAACTACAGGGTTGTGTGGATTTTCAATGCACCAACAACGATACGAATTTTGTCTGTTAAATATTCCAGAAGTACCTATTCTAGTTTCATGATTCCAAATAACATTTAATGGAAATACAACATTTATGCACTATTCAACAAACCACTCGGAAAATCTTAATCGTCTAGCTGCGTCTCCTCGGAGTTGATGAACTCTCCTTGAACTATAAGGTTTGAATTTATGTTCCTTGCGTGTTTTTAAAATGTTAGTTTTTGGGACACCTTTTGGGTTTGAGAGTGCCCGAGAGAAGGTGCAAGGATGATCAAATATCTCACCAATACATATATTACATTTAGCTGCTGAATTTCCTTCTCTTCCTTTATAAGGTTTTTATTTTGAATTTTTGAAGTCAGTAAATTATTTTTTATTGTCTGGAAAATTATATTTCTGGTTGACGATGCTCGGGAAATGTATTAAAATATAATTCACTAGCTGCTTGAGAAAACTTGTTTGCTAATATATAACATTTTAACATATCGCATTTTTTTATACGTATACACGTCAAAATTTTTTGTAGGGGGCGCCACTTACATATTTTTTAACTGGTTTGAAGACTATTAATTTTTCGCCCGTATTTGTATGACGCTACTGAGTAAAAAAACTATACATTTACGATGTTTTTTACGTAAAAATGGTCTCTTGATATAATCGCTACGAGTAATGGTTCTCGAGATATTTGAAATCTAAATTATCTTTACCTGTAATCATTGACATAAATTAAATATGTTGACTAAATACCGTATGATCGAATAAAAACGGCGTCAGCGATGGCTATGAAATGACGATCGATGACATTTCCCATATAATTTTACATATAATTATTTCATAGCCATTGCTGACGCCGGTTTTATTCGAGCATACGGTAGTTATTAGATTGAAATGATAAATTTGAAATGGTTTGTGCCAACAGTTTAACAGAAACTGTTTTATCATCATTTTTTCGAAGAATAAATTATGATTAATTTAAAAATATAAAAAGTTTCCAAATTTATCTTTTCAGTCAAATAACTATCTACTCAACATGTTTATTTTTTGTCAATAATGACATGTATTGACTATTTTCAATCTAATTAGCTTGAGAACGATTGTTCGTAGTGATTTTTACCAAGAGAGCTTTTTTACGTAAAAAACGTCGTAAATGTATATTTTTTTACTCAGTAGTTTTATACAGGTACGGACGAAAAGTTATTACTCTTCAAACAAGTTAAAAAATATGTAGGTGGCGCCCTCTACAAATATGAGTCATATTGACATCAAAATCAAATTTAGCATGTCAAAAATTCCCAGATACCAATTTTCATCCAAATATTGAGGTTACTTCAGAAATTATTTGGAAAAAATCGAAATAAAAATGAAAGTTCTACACCCTGTATCTCCGAAACTAAGCAATTTAGAACATACATTTATACGAACTTTTTTATTTATTTTTATCTGCAGAATATGCTGCTAAAGTTTCCGGAATACAGTTCGGAACACCCTGTAGAGAATAACTTACTATGCCACTGGATTGTGCTTAAAAAAAATGTCTTAAGAATGTTTTTACAGAAATTTATTATTCCGCGTAATAAAAAAGTTATGGGCAATTTTCAAAATGGTCCAAAATTCATAAAGGTCCGTATCTCAGTAATAATAATAGCTACCGTATATAGCGTTTAACGCCTTGGGAGAAGCAAGGTATAGCTTGCCATGCTAGAGCCGTTCGGTATACAAGGATCTCAGTTGGTAGGTAGTATGTATACCCGTATCTCATGCCATTAAACATGTCTCAGAAATAGAGCCCATATCATCTAGATCGGTTGTGCTCTATCTAGTCAGGAAATGGCTTTGTTAAAACAAACCAATTTCCACCACCCTGTAGAGTGTTGCTAGTAAGATGAGGCAGTAAATTATAAAATATACGGTATGTAAATTATTGTTCATGCATCTGGAGCGGTAAATTGTGTCTAATTTTTCCATCGTTCAGTTCATATTATTTTATATTACATAGTTGTTTGAAGCGTGAATTATTACAGTAGGTAAATGACATTGTTTTTACTTTATGTTTAGTACATAGCTAGTTGAAATCAGTACTATGATCTTTCAAGTTATGTTAATTTCTTTCAGTGTTAATTCAGTCTTTGCTCGAATTCAAGATAATACTGTTATCGATATAAATGACATAATGTCTCCCAGTTATATGCCGGTTAATGTATTTTCAGCAGATGATATAGGGAGAAACGATTCAAAAGCACTTTATGATGATGTGATTCAAAACAGTATATCCAATGGCTCAATAACTGATGCTTTAGGTACTATGATTTTTCACAGGTAATGTAACACTAATATACAGGGTGGTCCGAATTGTAATCGGGAAACTTCGACAGCATATTCCGCAGATAAAAAAAACTAAAAAAGTTCTTATAAATTTATGTCCTAAAATGCTTAGTTTCGGAGATACAGGGTGTAGAAAATTCATTTTTATTTCGATTTTTTTAAATAATTTATTAGTAAGGTCAATATTTGGATTAAAATTGGCGTCTGAGTGTTTTTTTTTGGCATAAGAAATGTGATTTCAGCAGAGGGTCAGGTCAAAGACTTTTTTTTATTTTATTTTCGTTTATATTCTGATAGTAAAGTACTAAATAATTCTGGTAATTAAAAAAAAACAAATATTTGATACTTTACTATCAGAACGAAAATAAAAATAAAAAAGTTTTTGACCTGACCCGGATTTGAACTCTGAATCTTCGGTTCGTGGTCGGAAACTCTACGTACCGCGCTATGGAGACATGTTCGATTTATATTCAATAATAGAATTTAAAGGACTAATAAAAATATAGGACCTTCTTTCAATGCGCAGTAGGGAACACAACGTTTACCGGCAGGCAGACACAACGTTTACCAGGCATGCTGTTCTAGAGAGCATAGTAAAAGATGTATCAAGGAGCCAGACGTCTTAAAATACTTGTTTTTCCGACGTTGCTAGCTCTCGTACTATAAGGAGAAGGTAGTTTATATATTATGTCAGCATATGTAGGTGAATTTAGAGAATTTTTTAAAAATATATAGAGTTCTACAATGGATGCGCGTTTCGCTAACCATGTTAGTTTTAATCATCTGCTGATGATGCTAACATAGATAGTTCAACGCGCGTCCAGTGCAAAAGTAAAGCATTTTGATGTATTGTGGTGAATTAGTGTTTGATTTTGCAACTATTGCATGTTAAACCAAATTAAAATTTGACTTGAAACGCTGTATAGGGTGAGACAAAATTATTGAACATTGGTCACTTTTAAAAGCAATTTATTTCTTTATTTTAAATGTAACTAGTATGTTACTCCGATATTCAATGGATAATTATTCATATCTCTTCTCTTTAAAATACGTTAAAATATTATTAAGGTTAGGTTAGGTTAGTGGCATTCTATTAATTGTGACTTCATTCACCAATTAATAGAATCATATCAATTCTCTCTAATGCAGGATAAGTTTCCATTTTAGGCAAATGTCTTAGAATTTTGTGTTTTTAACTGACGCGAAATGATAACTAGTTAAAGTTTAACTAATTTGACAGCTATGTTGAAGTAACGTCTGACATATCACAGCCACCTAGATTTTAGCAAATAATAATATAAAAATGAAAATATCTATATAGGAAAATCTTTGTATGAGGCAACCTTAATAGTATTTTGGATATACATGAATTGTGTTCCATTTAAAATAAAAGAGTAACTTGCTTTTAAAGGTGACCAATGTTTAATATTAATTTTGTATCAGTCTGTATAACTTTTTAGGTCAAGTTTTAATTTGATTTAAAGTACAATAGTCATTTTAACTACATATTAAGCTATACGGATAAATTTAAATATAGGTAGATTTTCGGAAATTTAAAATTTGTTCTTCATTTTTACAAAATGTTAAATTTGTCAAAAATTTTACATTTTAGGCATATGCTTCTTTAATGAAACTCACCTTTATTTCTTTTTTTTTCGTAGAATGCCAAAATCAGTTAATAATAAAAAATACTAAACAGGGTCCGGCAATAGTGCGTCTGTAGCTCCTAGAATAAAAAACTTGAGAATTTTGTTTAACTGCAAACCTAAAGTATGCACTAGGATGTATTTCAGGAAAATATTTTAACTTCTATAGGGTGGCTCAAAAAAGTGTGAGTGGATCGGAAAATTTTTTTTTAAATGGAACATCCTGTATATTATTGCATTTTTGGCTTCCTTTCAGATCACTTTACATAATCTTAGGACATTAGTAAATATATTTCGATAATTTCAGCCTTAAAAAAAATAATAATACAAGAACTGTCCTGAAATCGAAACTATATTAGATATTTACTTTAGATGATCTGTACTTACTTTGCTATAAATATGGAAATCGTAAATTATACTCTTAACTTAATTAACTCTTCTCACAGTATATCATGGCAACTTTCATTCCCATCTGACCTATGCTATTCGTTGCTGGGGTCATACATGTCATGTCAATAAGGTTTTTGCGCAGCAGAGGAAGTGCGTGCGTATTATTGCAGGGGTGGGTTACAGGGAAGATTGTCGTAATTTATTTAAAAAATTTAAGATTTTAACTTTGCCCTGTGTGTACAGGGTGGGTCAAATTCGACGCTTTTAAATGGAAACACCCTTTTCTATAGGAGATAGACAAAAACTAATATCGGTGTCTGGAGCTCAATTTTTGTCAAAAACATTATGGTGAAAACCGCATATCGATATCTGTTACCGTTTCGGAGTTACGGGGTGTTTTTCAAAAATATGCATTTTTAACAAATCGCTGTAACTTTTTTGCTATGGAAAATTTTGAATTTTTATGAAAACATTTCCAAAGCACCTTTTTACGTAGAATTTAATGGTTTAAGTATAATTTTTTTAAAATTAATAATTTAAGAATTATCTACAGAAAATTTGATTTTTTATATGGGACACCCTGTATATTTTTAATTTATTGAAAAGAATTTAAAATTACCTTTCCAAAAATATAAAACACTTGATATTTTCCTCGATTCCTCTTCGTGATATAGAGTATATAAAAATTCGCCTGCTTTTAAATAAGTAGGCTTTGAACGGCACCGGCTGTAATGCAAAAAATTCTAGCTGTGAATATCAATTCAAACGAAAATAATATTTGCTATGAGAGATGCAGAATTTTATAACAATTTAAAATATGTTTAACCAACATCAACACATTTAAACTATATCTAACAACAATAAAAATAAATAGCAAACCAAGACATGAGATTTTGCTACAGGTGTTCGACATATCAACCGTCTTCTGTTATGGACAGACGGGGCAGTTTTTGAAAATTTCTCGCGGAATTCATTAACTCAGTAGCGGTGAAAGATACCCTCTTATAACTGCTAAGAATTTTTAATTCTTGTCTAGATTATACGGAAGAATAAGGAACATTTATTCTTCCGCAAATATATCCATAGGATTAGATCCATGGGTACTAAGTCAGGCGGCCTCGACGGCCAACGGCTGGGATCTTGGTTAGCTATCCAATTATTCTTGAAATTGGCTGCAAAAATTTGCTGATAATTTCAGCGTTCAGAGGCGGTGCGTCGTTTTGCTGGAAAAATATGTTTTTGAATTCCATTAAGGGCATATCATCAATAAGTGGTCCAAAGCCTACTATTTAAAAGTGGCGAACGTATAAAAATTCTGTATTTCGAAGGGGATTATAACAAAATATCAAGTGTGCTATATTTTTGGAAAGGTAATTTTAAATTCTTTTCAGTTAATTAAAAATATAGAGGGTGTCCCAAATAAAAAATAATTTTTCTGTTGATAACTCTTAAATTATTAATTTTAAAAAAATTATACTTAAACCCTTAAATTCTACGTAAAAAGGTGCTTTGGAAATATTTTCATAGAAATATAAAATTTTCCATAGAAAAAAAGTTACAGTGATTTGTTAAAAATGCACATTTTTGAAAAACACCCCGTAACTCTGAAACGGTAACAGATATTGATGTGCGGTTTTCACCATCATGTTTTTGATAAAAATTGAGCTCCAGACACCGATATTAGTTTTCGCCTATCTCCTATAGAAAAGGGTGTTTCCATTTAAAAGCGTCGAATTTGACCCACCCTGTACATTATGCAGTGTTTGTTGTTCATCAAACAAAATCTTGATCTATACAGGTCACATGAATATTTTCACAGCTACCGAACAAGAAATAATAGCAATCTTGTACCGGACTTTTGCCGGCTTGAGAGATCCAAGAATGGTTCAAGATATTTGAGCATAAAGTTTTATAACCTGGTACCAGCTAGAATTAAGGCTCTTAATTTTAATCAGTACAAAACAGAAATCAAAAACCACCTTATAATGAATGCATTTTTTTCTTTTGAGGAGTTCTTCAGTTCCAGCTTTTGTCTGTGATTTTATTTGTTTTGTCTATGTTAGTTTGTGTGTTGTATCTGTTCATTTATAACATATATTTGACATACATATTTGTTTAAATTTTAAGGTTTTAATGATTTTTCTATTGTTTAATTGTATAAATTTTATTTTATCAAATTTGTGTATTAATGATGCAATGTAAAAACAACAAAAAAAAACTGTAGAAACTAAATTTTTATCAATTTTTATCATTTTATATATATTTTTTTTTTACTTGTAAAAATACTTTTCTTGTATGCTATTACTAATAAATAAACTAAACTCTAAACTAAACTATACAGGATGTTCAAAATTCTAAGCCAAACTTTCTGAAATATAAAATAATTTTTCTTTCTTTTTTTAAATGGAACACCCTGTATGTTATTTTTTCAATAGATGGAGAATTAAAAAAATGAAAATGTTTTGTATTTAGACGGTTTCGCAGTATTTTAACGGTTTCGCAGATATTCCTGGTTTTGTATTTCATATGGCATTTTCCACAGTAAATTTTTATCAAAGTCACCTAATGATTTTTCTTTCGTATTTTACCATTGAAAGCGCCATATGAAATAATACTGCGTGTATCCAGAAAACTATTAAAAATTTTGAAATACTTTAAATACAAAAAATGTTCATTTTTTAATTCTCCATCTAATAAAAAATAATATACAGGGTGTTCCATTTAAAAAAAAACGAAGAAAAATTATTTTATATTTTTGAAAGTTTGGCGTAAAATATTGAACATCCTGTATGATTTACGATTAACATATTTATAGCAAAGTAAGAACAAACCATCTAAAGTAAATACCTAATAGAGTTTTGATTTCAGAACAGTTTTTGTATTTTTAATATTTTTTTTTAAGAAAATATCTCTGAAACTATCGAAATAGATTTACTTATATCGTAGGATTATATAAAGTGGCCAGAGAAGAAGCCAAAAATGCAATAATATACAGGGTGTTCCATTTAAAAAAATCATCCAGATCCACACACACTTTTTTGGGCCACCCTATAGAAGTTAAAATATTTTCCGGAAATACATCCTGGTATTTAGGTTTGCACTTAAACAAAATTCTCAAGTTTTTTATTCTATGAGCTACAGATGCCCGACGCACTATTGCCGGACCCTGTATACTGTATACCAAATTTAAATTATTGATATAATAAAATAGCAAATTATTCTTGTAGGTCTATGATGAACCGGTATCTCTGCAAAAATTACCTAGCTAATGAGATTTTATCAGGTCTTGTCCAAGAAAATTTTCAAAAGCGCCGAAGTGATATTTTGCCAAATATATTTTCGGACGAGTTTATGGCAAGGAATCGTCTACACCATGACGGAAGATCATTGTTGTACGATAGTTGGTTATCAAGGTAATATGATAAATTATATAAAAAAATGTAATACAAACAATTATAAATGTTCACAATTTATGATATTTTAACACGAATATTTTTTAATTGAATCTATATAAATTTAAAGATACTTGTGAGTTTTAATTATATTAAATAATGCACGGTGTGGTTGTTGGCTTTAAAGATCGCGCACACTATACCTACACGGACCGGCACGGACCAGACCAGTAAAATCTACCGGTGAAGGTGACCGTGTTATTTAATAGAGTAGAGCACACTAGACCAGTACCAGCACGTACCGCTACAAGCCACGACCGTCAAAACAGGTCGTGTCGGTCAGGGACAAATATGACCGGCAATATTTATGCCTGGTCGTGCTGGTCCGACCTAATGTGCGCACCGGCGAACCAGCACACCTCCACAAACATGCAAATATTGAAGGGTTCGTCAGTATTTCGAGTACGCTAGCTGGCTCAAGTCGCATGATGTAGGTTAGATTTCGTTTATTTTTGTTCGAACCTTTAAATCGTTTTAAATATGAATGAAGAAAAGCTTATTTTACTGGTACAAAAGTATCCAGAGCTGTGCGATACGAGCCAAGCATTTTATATATAGAGACCAAGAAAGAAAAGATGCAATATTGGAATCGATAGCAAAAAAAAATAATCAAATTTGATTTGTGACATTCGAAAATATTTGAAAAACTTTTCTTCGAATCTTTTTAATTCAGGAAACAAATGATGAAATTCGCCATATTGCTTTCTCTTTTGATTTATAGGGTGAACCCAAAATCTTTTTTTCTTATCTTCCTTCTCTTCCTCCTCTTCTTCACACAACATGGCTAAAATAATAATTTCTTCCTCTGAACTACTCATTTTCAATACTTCTATGTTGCACGCTCTAGTAGTTGAGCCTTGACAACTGTACTTTTTTCGAAACTCTCGCTTATGTTGCTGGTCTGTGGCGGTAAAGTGTGCGATGTTATGCAGGATGCAGGTTTGTGCTGTGCTGGTCCGTACTGGTCCGTGTAGGTATATTGTGCGCGATCTTTTAACGCAAAGCCGTTAAATATAGTTATGAAAAATATAATAAAAAATATAAAAAAGTATTATTTTTTTTTAATTTAATAAGAAAAAGAACATTTTTTTTTATATATATTTTATATTGTTTTTCTGTCTCCCCTCAGATAAATGTTTAGAATGGCTATTAGTAGCTTTGAATTAGTAGACATAGATAAATGTAGATAAAACAAGTTTAGAATGGAAAGTGCCTATAAGGACAATGTAAATACTATTTGGCGCTATTCTTGCGACGGTTGCGACTCCAAGCTTTTGACAATTTCGGAGCGGTTCGGCTTTTTCCGGAATTATATCGTCAAATATATTATTTATTCAAATTTATTAGTTTTTTCTTTTAATTTTATAAATAAAACACAGTGTGTTGCATATAAGATACTTTATTTTATAAAAGGACATGTTTTGTATGAAATACCTATGGAACATCGGAAACCGACGTTATGCCACGATGGTTTTTGCAATTCACAGTTCACACCGCTTACGTTTTTATTAAAAAATGTCTATACCTATGTGGCGGATTCATCTTTCCAAAAAAAATCCTTTATGGGTATTTCGCCACTGCACTGCAAGAAATTACTACGAAGATGTTAATAATAAAATAATTATTTTTTGTAAACACTTCTGCGTTAAACTTAAACGGACGCTGCTTGTCAGAAGTTATGTTTACAGTAATACAAATTTGTCTAACAAAGAAAAAAAATGCTTAACGGTTCGGAAAGTTATCTCTTTCCGTCGTCGGAAGCAAAAAAAATACAAAGAAAAAAACTATTTAAAATATTTAAATTCAACTATTCGAGAACACTTTACTTTTTTAAAACAGATACGTCTACAAGAAACCGTTGACGTTCTGTTAAAATACGTTTTTATTTTATATTTTTTTTACGTTTTTTTAATACCACTTTTTCACAATTATCAGGGGTTTGAGTAAATAAAATTTAAATTAGACTTACAAGAAAAAAAAATAATAATAATATAATTACTTTGAAAATGGATGCTTTAAATACTTTTCGGTATTTTTTCAATGCGGGCGGTTTAAATTTTGAAAGATTTTATAATTTTTGAAGATTACGACTTTGACAAGAGAAAGTTCTTTCTATTCTTGTTTGCGGTTGTTCTTAGCAACCGCTATAGCAGCGCCAGATCCCGTACAACGTATGCGACCAAAAACAATTTTATACGTTTTGGCGGGAAGCTGAGCATCCCAATCTAAATTTATTTCCTTTATCTATGTTAGTAGACCAATCTGTATCTGTACATACATTTATTTTTTCTAAAGTTTATTGATCGAAATATTAATTTATGATCTGCTAATAAAAATTAAAGATTTTTGAACATATAAAAATGTATTTAATTTCAGGGACAACGATTTACGGAGCAGTTTAGATTCTACAGGTATGTCTATATGTTCTTTTTTTTTGAATTTTTATTAATAGCGGTTATGTTAGATGCCTTTTAGCCGGAGAGCTGGCGACATATTTAGAGAACATATTTTAGGCAAGTTAGAATAACAAAAAAAAATAAAGTTTAATAACTTGTGAACCCAGAATCCTAAGTCTTCCTGGGGGGTTGCGGGTATTTTGCTACTGCGCAACCCATAACATTTGCAAAAAAATAAATCCAAAAAACATTCTTTAGGCAACTTGAAATTTGTTTATTCTTAAATTTTAGCATCTATTTAACCTAGAAATAAGTATACCAGGCTTTTTTTCGGGTTTAAAGTGTAACCCGACCATTCCAAATATGTTTAATTATTATACCTGGAAAACATATTTTAGGCATTCTAAAATTTTTACAGCGTGTTTATTAGATGATATTAAAATATATGTGTTAATTGCCAGACGAATTCAACGGTTTTAATACTTGTCTGACGCGAATAAAGATTTTAAATGAACGCGACAAAAAGTTTTATGAGTATCTATAAGCGCGAGAAAGATAGTTGCGGCTGACGTAACAGTATTTTGGAGTACTTCAAATTTTCATAAAAACAATTTTTTTCGGTTTCATTTCAATTATTTGCAGGCTTTTAATTCAGAGATTATTTTGTTGGAATTAAGTTTTCTTTTTATGATATTGATTAGAGTATATCATATTTTCAGAAAGCCCATAACAAGGCAAATAATATAAAAAAATAATATACTGGGTGTCTCTATAAAAAGTAGAAGTCAGATTTCGAAACTAGTCAGCGAAACTAGTTAACATCACTGGATTCTACGTAAAAAACTTACCGAGACTGAGTTTTCACCTTTTCGATAAGTTATAAGATAACCGATATACGATAAGATAATAATACTTTTTTTAACTAGGGTTATTTATGTTCAAAAATTAAATAATATTTTTTTGCCTTATTTATGAAAATATAATTTTAGAGTATATCGTATTTTCAGAAAGCTCATAACAAGGCAAATAATATAAAAAAATAATATACTGGGTGTCTCTGTAAAAAGTAGAAGTCAGATTTCGAAACTGAGAACCATCAGTCAAACTAGTTAACATCACTGGATTCTACGTAAAAAACTAACCGAGACTGAGTTTTTACCTTTTCGATAAGTTATAAGATAACCGATATACGATGGAATCGAAAAATGCAACATTTTAAAATTCGTCCTGTATTTTAGGAACTAAAAAGACTAGAACAACTCTTCTTCTTTTTTAATTCTTTAATTAATTAATTTTTTAATTCGTTCATGGTGCAATAATTATTGATACTCAACTTTTGATGTATTCTCAGGCAGCCGTCCTGTATTTCATTTCTATTTTTATGTGCATTATTGCTGGGGTTCCAAGTTATTAGTTCTTTTTCATATAGGGGTAAAAACTCAGATATAGTCTCGTTCGACCAAAACCTGTTGTCTCGAAATATGTAAAATATAAATTATTCTTGGAATCTCCGTTTTTCGATAGATATGGTAAGTTACATAATCAAATGTATTACATGCCTACTGTGTTCAACATAAACAATTTTTTTTAGTACCGGTTAATACCTGGCCGGCTATAAATCAGTTCATTTGTGATTGAACTAATCGCACTGAGGGGTAAATTGGTACCTATAATATATTGTTATAATCAGCGGCAATTATCACCGCTCAAATTACCGCCAATAAATTAGTATAGCTATACAAATTTTAAATAGCATAATTGCACAAAACTTTATTTAAAACAAATATTTCTATAGCAGCTGTAAAATTTAGAAGTATAAATTAAGTATCAAATACAATTATTACACATACATAAATCACCTCAGCAAAATGTATATAGTGCTTCTCACCCTTCTAGTAATAGTCAACATTTTTGACATGTTCTACACCCTTCGGGATATTTGTATGTAACTTATATTATTATACTTAGAACTAATAAACTATATCTATCTATACGAGTATATCCTTTATACAGCATTAAGAATAAATTATAATTTTAAACAATAACATGGTAGGTTATATTGGTATACCCTGTATTTATCACTAATTTTTATACCTAATTAATATGATATTTATATATTTCTTAAGCTAATATCACAATATGTATGTTTGCATTAAATGGAGTTATTTAAATAAATTATGTAACAAATAAAATTAACTGAATTTAAAAGAATTACTGGTCAAGACCTCGCACGGCGCGTTTACTTTAAAATTTACCGCCAGACGACGGGAAGGACGCGTCGACCGAAGATCGGCGCGCCGACCCATTCACACGGCGTGTGGCGCGTATTTTTTGTTTCAGGCTCGGCTATCCACGCGCCATGTAACTGCACATATACCCGGCCGTGGCCCGAAGATCGGCCTGCCGACCCAATCACACGGAAATTTTTTGTTGCAGGCTCGGCGATCCTTAAGACTTTCTTATCGCGCTCATTTAAAATCTTTATTCGCGTCAGGCAAGTATTAAATCCCAATGAATTCGTCTGGCAATTAACACATATTTTTTAATATCATCTAATCAACACGCTGTAAAAATTTTAGAATGCCTAAAGTATGTTTTCCAGGTATAATAATTAAACATACTTGGAATGGTCGGGTTACACTTTAAACCCGAAAAAAAAGTCTGGCATACTTATTTCTAGGTTAAATAGATGCTAAAATTTAAGAATAAACAAATTTCAAGTTGCCTAAAGAATGTTTTTTGGATTTATTTTTTTGCAAATGTTATGGGTTGCGCAGTAGCAAAATACCCCCAACCCCCCAGCCAGACTTAGGATTCTGGGTTCACCAGTTAATAAACTATACATTTTAAGTTATTCTAGCTTGCCTAAAATATGTTCTCTAAATATGTCGTCCGGCTATTTGTCCGGACTTATAGTCTTAAGAGCAGCTGCATTGGTCATCTAGGAAAGACAACTTATGTAATTGCTTCTACGGTGCTTAAGATTACAGCCTTCTGCATCCCTTGTTGTATTTGGTCATTTCAATTCATTTAAAGGCTTTATCTTGTTTTTGTGAACCAGCCTATTGGTACTTATTATTATGGTACGCATACATTGGTGCGCTGCGCAGCGAACGCGTAGCGCGCGCCGATCGTTGTCCGCGCGTTACTTTTATTGTTTTAACGAACATCCCGCGATCCATAGAAATCCCGCGAACATTCATCTAGTCGTTAATCATGTCTCTATCGTCCGAGAAGAACTACGCAATTTTAATCATGAGTAGTGCGACTATTTAAACACTCCATTAATAAACAATATTCAAAGAAAAACACAAAAAAGGGAATTTATTCAAAGAAAATACACATAGTCACTGATAAAAGCGAACGGAATGCGCGCGGTGTCTTCACCGGCCGTCCCAATTGAACAACGAACAAACAAAGCGGAGCGTCGAAAAACCGACTGGAGATGGTTCGCCGCTAGCTGTTTGCGCGCGGAGCGCGCTCTACTTGAAAACACGTACCAATAGAGGCGAATCGGTGCACGCGTGCCGCGCGTTCGCGGCGCAGCGCGCCAATGTATACGTACTTTTTAGAGGCATTAATGTTTACAATCTTGAGATTCCATAGGGGTTTTATAGCTCTAGAGAGCTTTGTAGGTCTAGAGGCACTGAAAGTCTATAAGAGTAGCAGAGTAGCTGTTCTTTCTTGTTTATTTATAATAACTCAGTCTGCTCTGTTATGTTCAATTCCTTTGTCAGTTATTATAGCATAGTTCCAGTAGATCTTGAAGTATGCATTTTCAATGGCTATCTCCGGCTTATGTTTATGATGCGGTGTAAAATTGCTTATTGAGTGGTGAACAACTTTTCCCATAGCATTGTGCCTATCAAGATATCGGGTAGAAGCAAGTGGTGTGCATCTTCTTGCCAGATGTTGAACTGTCTCTTCGCTTCTATCGCATAATCTGCATCTGTATTTTTTTAACCTGCTGTTTCAGAATAAAACTGAGATAGTTTCTTGTTGGAACCGACTTGGTCCTATATTGGTCCTAGTTTAGCAAGCAACGCAACTTCAGTCTCCGGAAAAATGTATCTGCTGGTAAGGAAAGTTTTGGATCTCATTATATTATGCACCTCTGGTTGGTGCAAGCTAGCGTGAAACTTTCTGTGTAGTGATTTACTCCACCAGTTGGCTCTCATTGTTTGAAGTAAGTTCTCTTAATTTTCATTTACATGTGGTTCTGACAAAGAGACTGTTGAGTATTGTAAATAGTCTGTCCGAAGCTACTATTTGTCGATGTTTTGATGTATTTTCCCTCTGAAATACGTTTTAAGGGTCTTAATTTCTTCTAAAATTACTTCCAAAGGCAGAGGAGTCCTCTCCATCCTTCGTTGACTGGGAGGTTTGGTTTGGTTTGGTTTGGATATATATGCCTCTCAATATATATGCCTCTCAATAGAAATCTCAATAAAACAATAGAATATCTCGGGGAGGTGTATGCTAGCAATGGGACGGCCCAGGAGCCGTTATTTTTTAATAGCCGTTATTTTTTTTGCTTTTAATATCGTTTTTCGTATTTACTCGCCATGTAAATTCCTTTTTCCATTTTCGGCTGCTTGTTTGTTTTATTTTTGCCTAGATATTTATAGGTCTCTTCGGACCCAAAATGTTTTATCTCGGCTCCGTCTGCTAAAATAACGCTGCAATTCTCAACCATCCTACCTCTCCTTATCGCGCACTTTTCTGCAGACGAAACTGTATATTTACGTCAAAACTGAAGTTTCTTACAAGTTCTAATTCACCATCTAGTTGTTGGGGGCCTCTGGCGTATAACTTCAAGCCATGCATGTAAAAGAGGTGGGATAGTTTACCATGTTCATCGATGGGTATATGAACACGAATTGCGGTTCAGTATACTGCCAACTGGTTGTTTAGAGCGAGACAAAACCATGCCGGGCTCAAGCTATATCTTCAAGATTCCTCTCAAATTTCCAAGTTCTCTTAATTCCCCTCAGCAATCTATTTGGTTCTATATCTCTGAAACAGTCTGGTTCTCCAGCTAGACATTTGGTGTTGGAGTAATCTGGTTACTTCCTTATCGATTATATAATAATATACTGTCACACCCCATTTTGTGAGCTATGACTAGGGACATAGCAAAATGAAATAGATTTAACTTTAATACTTAATTTAATTAAATTACGAACAATGCATAATTGTCTAATACTAATTATAAGGGTTCCTGCACTAGTTATAAGAGTACATACTTAACTATGTGAATAGACAAAGTTCGTCGCTGGCTCGTGGGTAGTATCAGAGGGTTTTCGAACTAGTGCAAATACCGGAATATTGATGGCGACCCTGTCGAACATTAACCGTTGACTGTCCCCACAACGGGTGACATTTTTGTATTTATTAATTCGATGTGTCGAACCATCGCGACTTTAAAAATGTATCGTGCCCCTCTTTTTTGGGTTATTATTCATCATGCATGGGAATTTTCCTGTTGAATTGATTTACAAAAATATATGTATGTTGAGTTCTTTTATATACGTAATAATTCCTTCCTTGACAATACCTGTAGGATTTCTATCAGTTAGTAATGCGGGACCGAGTCGAAACCCTTCTGGTGGTCTATTCAAACAAGTTTTTTTCTCATTTTTGCTTGTCTGTTTATCACGTTGTCTCTATTACTAGTAACTCTTTGTATCCGCTCCCTTTTGGCAGCTATTCTGCTACTAGGTTAGAATCTTGACCTTATGACAGATATGAGTAGAATATAGAGTGTAGAATGTCTGGCAGGGAGATTACTCACCCCGACCTTAAAAATGTATTGTGCCCCTATTTTTTGGGTTGTAATTCATCATGCATGGACATTTTCCTGTTGATAAAAAAAACGTTTCAAATCGGATATATCCTAACTCAAATCTAGTTATTCATAAAAAAGTAGGAAATTTGCAAAGTTCCTAACAACGCAACGATAGGAACTTTAGTATGTCCTAAGCCAAACTAAAACGGCCTGAAATCGGATATTTCCTGTAACACATATATAATATTTATATCTGTTGAAGTATAATTTCAAAACTTGGTGTAAAGTTCCGCTTTTATTTGGTCCATACACTCTGCATTAAGTTTGAGTTTTTAGGCATTTTCTTGTTTTCTTGTATAATCACGTAACTCGAGATATCATCCGATAATCATGTAGTCTGATATCTGTGGGATATTTCTCGGAGTTTCCCCAAGATTATCTTCTTCTTCTCGTCCGTTAACTATCTAAAGAGTACGGTGACATCATGTCTCAATTGCGCGGATCGTTGTTTTCCATTCCTCTCTATTTTGAGCGGCTAGAGAAGCCTCTTGCAGACCGTAACCAATGATTTTTTTGGTTTAGTCCAAGATTATAATCCTTTTTAAATATTAGGTCGATCAGTGATCATAGTATATTACACTACTCAAAACAATTATCGCATATTTGAATAAAGTATAATAATATATATAATAATGTATAATAATTATCGCATATAATAATATATATAATAATAATAATGTATAATAAATAATTATCGCATAATGAATAAAAGTAATTATTTCATATTTCTAAATGAAGCATGCATTTTTCTGCCTTTCTTTTTGAGTTCTTTTTAGGATAATTAGGGTACGCACTGATATGTAATTTTTAGTCGGCCGACTATTTGGTTACAAAAGCGAAAATAGTACATTCTTATGGAGCCGATCGGCCCAATATTTGATTACATTGTCTTAAGCTATGCGCTGACAGGCAATTTTTAATCGGCCAGCTATTTAATTCCATATTTGTAACCAATATATCCTTATGGAGCCGCGCTCACATGCAATCAAATAGTCGGTCAATCGACTTCATAAGTATGTATTGTTTTCACTTTTGCAACTAAATAGTCGGCCGGCTAAAAATACAGGTTAGCGCGTAGGCTTATTGTATCGAATTTCTCTTCACAGTATCCATACTATTTGAAATCGTAAGTCAGGGAATTCAAAGTGTCTTGTTTTTCAAATTAATATTATTTTTTCAAAAAATATGCGATAATTGTTTTGGCTAGTGTAGTTATTCTTGCGGTTTGGCTTAAAGCATTTAATCTATCACTGGCTGTATTATCATAATCAAAGCGAATGTTAAAATCAGCTAAAATGCGGTAACTGGCAATAATCTCTTACTCAAGAAGTTCTTATTTAAATCGTTAATTTGGTCCAGCTGTTCTGATGCATCTACCAATCATATCTACCATCATCTACCAATCAAGGTAACATTTACCTTGATTTTATTTTTGAGTGTCTACAACAGCATCTTTCTGTTTTTTAGCGCTCATTTACTGGTTCCACAAACCAGTAAACTAAATTTAAATCACCATTTTATAACTTAATATATATTTTGTTTTATATTTGCAATGTGCAAACATTTAGTGGTTTTCCATATTGCTCTTAAGTGTTTTTAGGTCCGATACCTTTTTGTAACGGTGCTATCGTAGCTATATATGTGTAGTATTAAGTTAAATACTTGTTCTAATTCTACTTATATTATATCAGATCGATTAGGATACGAAGAGGAACATATTGGAGAACATGATCCAGTTATAATTAGTTATCCTCCGAAGTATCAAGTGCATTATAAAGATGACAAGACTCATGAATTATCGGATATATTTGAGATTGCTTTAACTGCTGTAGCATTCTTATCGTTTGGAATGTTTGTAGTACATTTGGTTATGAGTATTTCTTCATTGGTAAGTGAGCTTTAATTTAGTTTATAGATGTTTTAGAGAATGCATAGTATATGTTATATGCATAGTATATATTATACAACACATTATTCTTAATGTATCATGTTAATATACATGGGTTGTACATACAGGGTTGTTCACCACATACGACACGGAGTATTGTAGCTAAATGATTAGATTTTTACAAATTGTAAGTTTTGGGTTCGTTGAAGGACTATTAGAGCTACAATTTAAAAATATTTTTACAAGATACAGAGTGTCCCAAATAAGTAAAAACTATTATAGTTGTATTTTTTTAAATGCAATACCCTGTATATTATTCTATTTTTGGATTCTACGATTGAAATAAAGGTAAATTTTATTAAGGTTTATCACACTTAAACCTTACCGTTTTTGAAATATTTTCAATTTTATGAAATTGCAGTAAAAATTTTAAGGCTTCATTTCTCCAAGGGTATCAAAGTTTTTAATACTAAATATTTACTGAAGATTATTTATTGATCAGATATTGTGTTGCAATAATAAAAATTTTACTACCTTATACAGAGTGTTCAAAAATTTATATTAAATAATTACTAGCTTTCAACGGCAATAACTTGTTTAATTTAAATGGAACACCCGATATTTTTTACGGGAATCAGATGCACAATGTAATTGTCTATCAAATTGTATTATATTACTCATCTCTTTAAGTTTTCGTAGAAAATGCATTTTCTTATAATTTAGACCTCATTTATCACTATACCCATGGAATATTGACATTTCAGATTTTTTTTATAGCACTATATGTACAAAATGTACAGGTGGTAAATATTGCAAGCCCACTGGCATACAAAAAAAACTATTTAAATCTTTGTAAAAGAGTATATCAATAAAATATACCACCATTATTTTCAACCAAAAATTAGTTAATTACATACTTTTAAATTGTTTTAATTAATAAAGTATTCTACATATATGTGGATTTGGCTCAGAAATCAATATAATAATAAGTTATGAAAATGAACGTCTCTGTTTTTATAAATAAGCATTCGTCAAAAAATGAAATAAAATTGGGACTTTTACCACACCGTCTAATACTACACACAAAATTCAGTTTTTTGTATTTGCAGCAATTATTATTAATCAACGTAAACAGTCAATTAATATAGTTTGAATACTGGGATCATATTAATTGGTCCTCTTTAACAAAAAATATTTAAACAGGTTTTTTAATTTTTCTTTAATTAAATAAGCGAACTATATCGACAATATTAGTATCTGTACCCTTTAAAAATTATTTACATCTTTAAAAATTTGTTACATCTTTAAAAATAAGCTAAAATGTCAATATTCCATGGGTATAGTGATAAATGAGGTCTAAATTATAAGAAAATGCATTTTATACGAAAACTTGAAGAGATGGGTAAAAAATAGTATAATACAATTTGATAGACAATTACATTGTGCATCTGATTCCCGTAAAAAATATAGGGTGTTCCATTTAAATTAAACAAGTTATTGCCGTTTAAAGCTAGTAATTATTTAATATAATTTTTTGGACACTGTATAAGGTAGTAAAATTTTTATTATTGCAACACAATATCTGATCAATAAATAATCTTCAGTAAATATTTAGTATTAAAAACTTTGATACCCTTGGAGAAATGAAGCCTTAAAATTTTTACTGCAATTTCATAAAATTGAAAATATTTCAAAAAAGGTAAAGTTTAAGTGTGATAAACCTTAATCAAATTTACCTTCATTTCAATCGTAGAATCCAAAAATAGAATAATATAAAGGGTGTTCCATTTAAAAAAATACAACTATATTTTTTACTTATTTGGGACACTCTGTATCTTGTAAAAATAGTTTTATCTTGTAGCTCTAATAGTCCTCCAACGAACCTAAAACTTACAATTTGTAAAAATCTAATCGTTTAGCTACAATACTCCGTGTCGTATGTGGTGAACAACCCTGTATAGGTGGCTATTTAAAAAAATTGATATTTTTAATTTTAAATATGTAATTGAAATTCATAAATATATTTTTAGCATCCTATAGCATCTAACTAAAATATCTTTCCATATATCTTTTTCTTCAACTCTAAAAAATTCTCCAACCAAATTTTAGTTGTCCAACTTCAGAAATAATGGCATTACTAACAATTTTTTACCTCACTGAAAGCTAACATTTGTTGAAACAAATTAAAATATTACAAAAATTATCAATTTTAGGTATATAATATTATATATAAAAAAGTAATAAAATTTTACGCAGAATCTAAAAGTGTGATAAAAAGTGGGGTGTGATAAAAAATTTTATAATTTTTTTTAAATACAAAATCATATGTTATATCCGCCACACTTTTTTGAAGTACCCTGTATACTCTGTAACAATCTTAAAATGTGTATCTTAACCTTCCCTATAATTTTTGTATTTAACATTTTTTTGTAAACCTCGAAACAAATGAGATAATGGACTTTACTCTATCGTTGACTCACCCTGTAAATATTTGTATTCAAACGATCAATCGTACACTTGCCAAGTATACTTGCCAGCCTTGTTTACACTTGCCGAGGCGCAAAAAAACGACTGCGCAAATAATGTTACTGTTATAGCGTATGTCCGATTTATTTCCGGATCGTAGTGTTTTTCGAGTTAATTGCGGATAATTTAAATTGTTAAAACAATAATAGATTATGTAATATCAAATTTACATTAATAACTTTAATATTGGCGACATACCTAAATCGTTTTCACAGCAATAAATGGAGTGGACAAATGAAGACTACACGGAAAAAAACAGATGTCACATTTTCATAAAAATTAAGATAGCGATACAACTTTATAGACAAATGTTAACGTCATTCGAAAAAAGAAAGCAATAATACGCTTAGTCCCAGAGATATTACAGCTTGGTTATTTTGCCGTACAAAGGAAAAACCAGAGTAGTCCCCGCGTAAATGGCAAAAACCAGAGATGTACTTACGCATGGGGCGACAAACATGCATCTTGCAATTAGTATTATATTATTAAAACAAGGGATATTACAGAAAATAAACGTCGAAAATCAAAAACACAAACAAATTTATTCCACTCGAAACTTGCCGAAGCTTACAATAAACAACAATAATCTCGACTGACCGAAAAACATAGATGAATCAACAAATATCTCAAAAACATCATCTGACACGATCGATAGAAAAATATTATCCTTATGTAACAATCTTAAAGGTATACACATACGTAATTAATTTATGTACGTATATATGGAATATTTTTTTCGTTATCAATATGGTTATAAATTTATGTATTGTAATAAAAACCTACTTAAATATAAATTTTCAACAAAAAAAAACAGTTTCGATTTAGGTTTTATACAACCTTTAATTAATTGGACATCTCTGGTTTTCCCCTGTTTTGTTTTGCATTTTGACTATTTTTTTTAGATTATCTAAGTATTTAGATTTTCATTTCAATATTTCAGAATATGGCGATAATACATACATATTTCTTTAAAAACACTAAATTGCATTTTTCTCGGCTCCAATTAAAATGGACAAAACTGGGTTTTCCCGTGTAGTCTTCAAATGATGTTGTTTTGGAATTTAGGGATTTATACGAAAATGAACCCATCATATGGATGGTCAAACATAAAGAACATACAGTCTGACAAACGGATCTGAAACAACGGGGCAACGGTAAGGGGATCGCAATTTTGTGAAATCATGACCGATTTCATTCATAAAATATCCAGGAGTGTGCGGTGTTTCTTAAAAATATATCAGGAATTTTTATAATATTTTCCAGTAAAGTTTATAATATTATTTTACTTTAAATGTACCTACATTCTGTTTAGTCATTTGCCAAATATAGTAATATTTGTTAAAACGCGTGTACTAATTACAACAAGCAGAAATCAAGTTAAAAGCATAAAACACAATATAATACACCGCCACTGGATTTTTCAGTAGTAGTGGCTGTTTCTACTATTCCTAGAGAGGGACATAAATTTGGGAGTAATAGCTGCAAGACGTGCGAGAATCTCGACCAATCAGATTGGTTGAATCCGGGATGCCATGATGAATTTTGTCAGCGTTGCTTGCCCTAAGCGGACGTTATTTTTGGGAAATACTTTACCTTATATAATAGTTTCTGAAATAATAGTTTCTAAATGAAGGAGATCAGTTAATTAGATAAATATACATTAATACAATAAGAACAACGTCAAGATATTAGCATATATATAATTATGTATGCTGAAATGAACTAAAATATATTCAATTTATAGGTAATATTGAGCAACTTTGCTTTTCTATTATTAAACATGACAACGTCGACTTTTTTTGCCCGAATTCCTCTTGCTGTTTTAGATCCGTTTGTCAGATATTAGAACTCGTATTGCAGTGTACAGTAGAACAACTTAAAAAGAAAAAAGAATCACTAGGAACGACAATTTCGGGACGACCAGTATCCATCGATGCGACTATACTGTTTACTTGCCAAGGATTGTAGGGGTACTCGGCAAATACGCAAATATTGGCGTACTTGCCAAGTACACTTGCCAATGTAGTACAAAGTGGGGACTGGTGGGGATACTTGCCAAGTACGCAAATATTGGCGAACTGAGCCGAGAAAAATGCAATTTAGTGTTTTTAAAGAAATATGTTATTTTCGGTTGAATAATTAGAAAAATATTTATATTACTACCAATTCTGAATTATTAATATTGTGAATTATCGCCATCTGAAATATTGAAATAAAAATCTAAATAGATAATCTAAAAAAATAGTCAAAATGCAAAAACCAAGCGCATTATAACCAGTTACTACGTTGGATTACGGCGACGAGCGCGACGATATCGATTTACGATATAATAAACGGAACTATCTACACCTAACCTCAAACATTTGTCTACAAAGTTGTATATCGCTATCTTAATTTCTATGAAAATGTGACATATCTGGTTTTTCCCGTGTAGTCTTGATTTGTCCACTCCATTTATTGCTGTGTAAAACGATTTAGGTATGTCGCCAATATTGAAGTTATTAATGTAAATTTCATATTACATAATCTATTATTGTTTTAACGTTTTAAATTATCCGCAATTAACTCGAAAGACACTACGATCCGGAAATAAATCGGACATACGCTATAACAGTAACATTATATTATTTGCGCAGTCGTTTTTTTGCGCCTCGGCAAGTGTAAACAAGGCTGGCCAAGTATACTTGGCAAGTGTACGATTAATCGTTTGACTCGGGCTATATTTACCGACAGAGAGTGGGGACGCGACAAGTGACCAAGGAACCCGTTCTCACGACATGGCAAGTATATTCCAATAACAAATGTTTGTCAAGTACGCCAATATTTGCGTACTTGGCAAGTATCCCCACCAGTCCCCACTTTGTACTACATTGGCAAGTGTACTTGGCAAGTACGCCAATATTTGCGTATTTGCCAAGTACCCCTACAATCCTTGGCAAGTAAACAGTATAGTCGCATCGATGGATACTGGTCGTCCCGAAATTGTCGTTGCTAGGGATTCTTTTTTCTTTTTAAGTTCTTTTGCTGTACACTGCAATACGATTTCTATGTTCGTTATGTTTTGGCCATCCATATGAAGGGCTCATTTTCGTATAAATCCATAAATTCCAAAACAACATCATTTGAAGACTACACGGGAAAACCCAGTTTTGTCCGTTTTAATTGGAGCCGAGAAAAATGCAATTTAGTGTTTTTAAAGAAATATGTTGTTTTCGGTTGAATAATTAGAAAAATATTTATATTACTACCAATTCTGAATTATTAATATTGTGAATTATCGCTATATTCTGAAATATTGAAATAAAAATCTAAATAATCTAAAAAAAATAGTCAAAATGCAAAACAAAACAGGAGAAAACCAGAGATGTTCAATTAATTAAAGGTTGTATAAAACCTAAATCTAAACTATTATTTTTTTTTGTTGAAAATTTATATTTAAGTAGGTTTTTATTACAATACAAAAATTGATAACCATATTGATAACGAAACAAATATTCCATATACGTACATAAATTAATTACGTATGTGTATACCTGTAAGATTGTTACATAAGGATAATATTTTTCTATCGATCGTGTCAGATGATGTTTTTAAAAGATTTGTTGATTCATCTATGTTTTTCGGTCAGTCGAGATTATTGTTGTTTATTGTAAGCTTCGGCAAGTTTCGAGCGGAATAAATTTGTTTGTGTTTTTGATTTTCGACGTTTATTTTCTGTAATATCCCTTGTTTTAATAATATTATACTAATTGCAAGATGCATGCTTGTCGCCCATGCGTAAGTACATCTCTGGTTTTTGCCATTTACGCGTGGACTACTCTGGTTTTTCTTTTGTACGGCAAAATAACCAAGCTGTAATATTTCTGTGACTAAGCGTATTATTGCTTTCTTTTTTCGTGACATTTGTCTATAAAGTTGTATCTTAATTTCTATGAAAATGTGACATATCTGGTTTTTCCCGTGTAGTCTTCATTTGTCCACTCCATTTATTACTGTGAAAACGATTTAGGTATGCCGCCAATATTGAAGTTATTAATGTAAATTTGATATTACATAATCTATTATTGTTTTAACGTTTTAAATTATCCACAATTAACTCGAAAAACACTACGATCCGGAAATAAATCGGACATACGCTATAACAGTAACATTATTTGCGCAGTCGTTTTTTTGCGCCTCGGCAAGTGTAAACAAGGCTGGCCAAGTATACTTGGCAAGTGTACGATTAATCGTTTGACTCGGGCTATATTTACCGGCAGAGAGTGGGGACGCGACAAGTGACCAAGGAACCCGTTCTCACGACATGGCAAGTATATTCCAATAACAAATATTTGTCAAGTACGCCAATATTTGCGTACTTGGCAAGTATCCCCACCAGTCCCCACTTTGTACTACATTGGCAAGTGTACTTGACAAGTACGCCAATATTTGCGTATTTGCCAAGTACCCCTACAATCCTTGGCAAGTAAACAGTATAGTCGCATCGATGGATACTGGTTGTCCCGAAATTGTCGTTGCTAGTGATTCTTTTTTCTTTTTAAGTACTTTTACTGTACACTGCAATACGATTTCTATGTTCTTTATGTTTGGCCATCCATATGAAAGGCTCATTTTCGTATAAATCCCTAAATTCCAAAACAACATCATTTGAAGACTACACGGGAAAACCCAGTTTTGTCCATTTTAATTGGAGCCGAGAAAAATGCAATTTAGTGTTTTTAAAGAAATATGTTATTTTCGGTTGAATAATTAGAAAAATATTTATATTACTACCAATTCTGAATATTGAAATAAAAACTAAATAGTTAATCTAAAAAAATAGTCAAAGTCAAAATGCAAAACAAAACAGGGGAAAACCAGAAATGTTCAATTAATTAAAGGTTGTATAAAACCTAAATCTAAACTACATATTATTTTTTTTGTTGAAAATTCATATATAAGTAGGTTTTTATTACAATACATAAATTTATAACATATTGATAACGAAAAAAATATTCCATACATAAATTAATTACGTATGTGTATACCTTTAAGATGGTTACATAAGGATAATATTTTTCTATCGATCGTGTCAGATGATGTTTTTGAGAGATTTGTTGATTCATCTATGTTTTTCGGTCAATCGAGATTATTGTTGTTTATTGTAAGCTTCGGCAAGTTTCGAGCGGAATAAATTTATTTGTGTTTTTGATTTTCGACGATTTTCTGTAATATCCCTTGTTTTAATAATATAATACTAATTGCAAGATGCATGCTTGTCGCCCATGCGTAAGTACAACTTAACAAGTATAGCTATATAGAGACGTGAGAAATATAAAATAACACGCGACCGGTGCTATCCCCAAGTCTCTTCCTATATTTGTAGAACTGTACATCTCTGGTTTTTGCCATTTACGCGTGGACTACTCTGGTTTTTCCTTTGTACGGCAAAATAACCAAGCTGTAATATATCTGGGACTAAGCGTATTATTGCTTTCTTTTTTCTTGAATGACGTTAATATTTGTCTATAAAGTTGTATGGTTACCCAAGTAACAAAATTCCCACTTCCGACTAGTTTTGACTACGCGCAACGTTGAAATTGGTACTTTTTCCTACCCTATGCATACCCAAACCTCAAATTACGTAGCCAAAACGTCGCTACGACGCGACGTTGCACTTAAACAGTTGTATATTTTGACCCTTAACAACGTTGGTAAACGTTGTAGGGCACAACGTTGTTAGAAGTTTGGTTTTATACCGTTGTCACTACGTCGCCAAAAGGCATGTTTATTGTACTACAGAATAACAAATGTAATACAACGTTGTGCAACGTACTTTTAAATTACGAGTGTAAGTACATGCTAACTACAACGTAATACTACGTTGGATTACGGCGACGAGCGCGACGATATCGATTTTTGTTATGGAAGTGGAACTATCTACACCTAACCTCAAACATTTGTCTATAAAGTTGTATCGCTATCTTAATTTCTATGACAATGTGACATATCTGGTTTTTCCTGTGTAGTCTTGATTTCTCCACTTCATTTATTGCTGTGAAAACGATTTAGGTATGTCGCCAATATTGAAGTTATTAATGTGAATTTGATATTACATAATCTATTATTGTTTTAACGTTTTAAATTATCCGCAATTAACTCGAAAAACACTACGATCCGAAAATAAATCGAATAAATCGGACATACGCTATAACAGCAAAATTATTTGCGCAGTCGTTTTTTTGCGCCTCGGCCAGTATAGACAAGGCTGGGCAAGGCTGGCCAAGTACACTTGGCAAGTGTACGATTAATCGTTTGACTCGGGCTATATTTACCGACAGAGAGTGGGGACGCGACGCGTGACCAAGAAAACCGTCACGACATGACAAGTATATTCCAATAACAAATGTTTGTCGAGTACACCAGTCGTGAGAATGCGCTTTTACATATTTGATTAAAAAAAACTTAGGAAATCCGTAATTGTGTTTCTTTACAGAGCAATCATGCTACGACTCGCCCAAGTATTATGATGCCGATGAGTATGAGTCCAACTGCCACAGGGCCAGGTATAGCAAATAAATTTATATAGTATTTAGAAACAGCATAGGAACGGATTGTGATATTTACAGATCAGATGACTTTCAGACTTTTAGATTTTTTAGAAATCTTTTCTGAAGGGCCGTTTAGACTTTCAGTTAATTTGCGCAAACTGGTTTGCACAAATCAAACTGCACCAATATTAAACTGTCTTATAAAACTCACCTAGCAAATAAATACACATTCGATAAACAAATTGTGACGTTAAATATTAACCAACGAATGCCACAACTATCTAAAACCAGGGTAATGAAGACGAGACAGATTTATTCAAGCCAAATTTTTGAACTGCACAAACTAATAGTCCGGCCGAGATGTGAAATACCGCGTATCGTTTTTGGGGGGGGGGGGGGATTCTTTTATAACTGATTTTTCTTTGCATGATAGTGATTAAATTCATTTAATAAAGACTGTTACTCTTAAAAACTTTCTTCTGACGATACTATTACAAATGCCAAATTTGATAAATTTTTAATAACATTTTCACTATTTTTTTTTTCTAAAATCTATTTCCAAAACTCCCCTCAAAAAATCAAGCACAAACAGAAGATTTTACCGCGGTGCGACACGATGCTTTGGAATATACACATAGGATTTTGCATGACGTGACGTGACGCTGAGAATTCCGCGATTCGTATCGCGATAGTTTTGCACCATATTACATAGTTTTTTCGGGATTTAACATGATTATTCTTCGTTCATTCCCTATCGCATTTCATTCTAATCGCGATCAAAATTGAAAGAAATCTGTGAGGGCCTTAAGTTAATATAATGAAATTTACACACATTTATTGAAATTATGTCATATTATATTAAGTTCCCGCAAATTCTAACACTGGAAGTGGAGGCACAAGTATTGGATCTGGTAATGGATTAAATAACCCCGAACCCGGCAATACAGGTGATGGTGTATCAGACACCGGTACCGGTGGGTCGGATAATGGTTATGGCGAATCAGATACTGGTGATAGTGGGTCGGATAATGGTGATGGTGCGTCAGACACAGGTGATGGAACATCCGATACAGGTGAAGGTAGTGAAAATACCGATACTGGAAATAATGACGGTGCTGACGAAGAATCAAATTCTACAGGTAGTTTTATTAATGGATAACGTTTAATAGAACTAATTATCCGACGACTGGAAAGTTACTTTCCGGCCGTCGCCGTCCTCGCTCGGAAATCACACCTAAAATTATTTTGGGGTCACTAAAAATGTTTTTTTTAGGATCAGCAGAAGACGATGACGAAACTGATATGGAAGATAGTACTGACAATGATAGGTTCAGTTTCAGGTAATTAACTAAATTATTTAGTTTATATTTTAAGAAAATAGTAATGATCATAAACCCAACAAGAAGTATTAATATTAGTAAATAAACTATAAGTGTGCAGTAATAAAGTACAATATGATCAAAAAAAAAATAGCGTCAACGATGGCTATGATATGAAGATCTCTGCCATTTTATATGCAAAATTATACGTAGAATGTCATCGACGTATATTTCCAAGCCATCTGGATGCTGCTTCTTTTGATCATACGGTATATGTATGTGTACGCATTTCAGTAGGGGCTATAGGTGAGAGAAGCACTAAGTGTGCTTTGGAGTCGACCTGGCAAGCTCCAAATACAAAATTATAACAGCCTGATTTGATCCGCCCAGGTGATGGGTTTAACCCCAAAACCGGCATATGGATGGCCTCCTTGGCCTGGCACCAGGCCTACTGACTACCTAAATTAAAAACTGACTACCAAGCCTAAACAGCCCCTAACTACCAAATAATAAATATGAAAATAAAGTTTATGTCCAAAAAATCAAAACCCATTTCTATATAATATTATTTCGTTTTCGTTCTCCAGATTTAATATCAAAACACGTAAGTACCTCTATAACTTAAGGTAGAAAATAATTTTGATTATGCTTAATCTATCATGTATGATCCTTGTTTATACAGGGTGGTCCGAATTGTATTCGGGAAAATTGGCGTATATTCTGCAGATAAAAATATTTGGAAATGAGAAATTCGATTTCAGTCAGTATGACTTCTGCTTGTTGGGGGCGCCACCTACATGTTTATTAACTATTCTGCAGATTAATTACTCTTTATCTGTACCTGTATTATACTATTGAGTAAAAAAATATACATTTCCGCCATTTTTACGTGAAAAATGTCTCTTGATAAAAATCGCTACGAGCAATCGTTCTTGCAAAAATTCTGAATAGGTACATGTCAAAATTGATAAAAAAATAAACATGTTGATTAGTAGTTATTTGACTGACATAATAAATTTGGAAATTTTTTATTTTTTTTAGATTAATTATCATTTTTTTTTTATAAATTTATGATAAATAAATAAAACTATGATAAAACAGTTTCTGTGGAACTTTTGGCACAAAAATATTTTCAATATTATTTCAGTCTAATCACTTATTAATCACCCCAGTGCCCATGGTGCAACTATTTTGAGACAAAGGTTGCAAACTAGTTTACCCTACAACCAGTTTCCAACTAAAAGGAAAAAACTAGACGCACACGGATCCAACTCAATGTGAATCAGTTTCCTAACCTAACCATCAGGTGAAAGTAATTTTAAATATTTCTCTGTAGGAATAGATGCCAATATAACCATCTACCAGCCATTATGATGCTACTCAAGACAGTTTAGTAACAGCTCATTCATTCCCCGTAACAGTTTATAAATGGTAATGTATTTTATTTTTCAATGTAGTCTAAATATAATTTTCTATATTAGAGACCAGTACATATATTAGTCAAATTAGCATTGCGGCTAATTCTCGACGAGTCAGTCTCTCAGTACTGAAGCCAGTGTCTCAGTTGAAGAAACTTGTTCTCACCAGTGTATTTAAAGTCCAATACAATTTTTGTATGGTAAAGAATTATACCTTCCCCTAGAAGATGCAAGACCTTGTTGTTGGTGGGGAAGCTCCTTGTCAGGTGCTGGAGGAATCTCCTCTAGCACTTTAGCTCGGTCTAAGAAGCATCTCATTGTCTTGTCCCTGGCTGTAGTGTCGTAGCCAGGGAATTGCACCAAGACATATAACGATGCCGGACGGGACTACCCCTGTCCGTCATACCAGGCACCCTCTACTGACTGTGGTCATGTCTCGTGGCTCAAAGGGATGCGTGGCTAGATAGAGGACTAGCTATTACTGGCCTCAACCTTGGGGCATCAGGGGGCACCTTATTGTATTTACCACTTACTTCTGCATGCAGGGCTCTGTAGAAGTGGATCGACTATCCCTAGCGACTCGTGGGAACACTATGACATCTAATATTTAAAACACCACCGGTGAAGTTGTTGGGAAGTCCCCTAGCGACACTGGGAACATTACAAATGGAAGTTCCAAAAGACCATATCCAAAGGAAACTACAGGACTAGGACTAGGCTGACACTTGCTTTCACCCTCCACAAGTGGCACACAAGCTACCACCTTCTCCAGCAAGGGTCGGGAGCCTACCTCTAGACCCAATAAGCGACATAAGCTACCGTTTTGTCTACCCGGCCTGGATCAATCAGGCGGACTAGACGATCCTCTGAGAGTAGGTCTTAGCGGAGCAGAAGCACGGAGATACCTCCGACTGCTCCACGAAGGACTTGCTCCAGAAGAAGCAAAAGCGAAAACATTCATCCGAAAAGGGGATAGTAAAGAAACCAAGAAACAACCTGACTCATCTCCATCAAAAGGCAAGAAGGGAGCGAGAACCTCTCACCTCTTCTCCGGCCGGGAGAGAAAAAAGCCAGGATAGAAAGCCGTCAAACACCGGGAGGCAAGCAGGGACGTATCACCAGCTTTCCCGTTATTGCTGGGCAAGTGAAAATGGCGGTGCTGCCAAAGGATTTTCCAGAGGTTGCTCTGACCACCGACCAGCAAACATCTCTAGAAGAGGCTATACTGGACGAAGTAGTGGCGATCGGATCGCAACACAACAATCTACAAAATGTGGGTCAGCTGCGTTTTGCGGGGATACACTTTCGGGTAGGCATGCTCCTTATAGATTGTGTATCTCAAGAATCGGCGGATTGGTTTGGTTTGGTGGAAATCGCACCTAAGCTTTGTACCTAAGCAATTGGCAACCTCACCTGTGTATTCTCGGTTTGATGGACCGGTGGGGCTTGTGTGCTTCAATGACTCAGAGGGCTATGTCGGCGGTAGGCAACTACCGGCAGGGTATCCCATGCCGAACAGGTCTCTGAGGAGAGGCCAGACAAAGAAGAATACAAAGCACACTTTCACACACTAACACACTCTCTCATACACACATACACCTATACACACTTTACACAGGCTAATCCAAGATGTTACGCGATCCGTGCCGATGGATGAATGGCACCCGTGCTTTAAACGGGTGTCTCAAACGGAGCCTATGGGATACCGGTCAATCTCCCATAGTAACATGCCTTATGTCTGCAATGGGTGTTCTGTAGGCGTTGACTTTCTTCACCCTTACTCGTGGGAACAGATGGACAGAGAGAATAAAAAAAAAACAAAAGAACAAACGAGGAGGACTCAGAAATGGGTGACTCCTCAACAAATGCTCCTGAGAATCCCGAAAGGGAAGACTCTGATTACCGCACAAACAGACACCACCGCTGGGCCAAGTACAACGAGGGCAGATTCATCTGCGGATCGTGAGAACAGCCTGCCGAGGTGTCAAACATAACCACAGGACTTGGGAACATAGGCCTGCGGAACAAGAGAATTTCGGGAGCCCAGAAAGAGGGGATCCTGAAAGCTAAAAAAATAGTAGAGGGAACCTGGACAAGGGAGAACCCTGCTAAGAAAAATAGGACAAGGAGTGGACGGAAAACGGATAAACACTGACCGTCAACCAGCCAAGAAAAAGGAAGAAAATACGGTCAAAAGAGACCGCACTCAGACTCGTCCACACTCCCTGTGGCTAGTCTGAGGAAGAAACCCAGGAGCACGGAAGTGCAGACTGGTGTTTCTTACAGTGAGGCCTCAACGGAACTTAGGATGGCGGTGATTTCCAGACGCCATCCCGAAACAACACTGAATCAGGAGCAAGCGGACCTGATTCAAGCGAGGCTGTTGGCGGCATTGACTGACACTCCTTCAGGGAGCCATAGTCCGCCGCAGTTTGAGGGAACTAGGTACGTGGGAGGGATTCTTTGGATCTCATGTGCCAACGAGCTCACCAAAGCATGGCTGCATCAAACTGTAGCCGGCTTGAACAATCTCTGGGAAGGGACAGACTTGACTACGGTCAACGCTAAGGACCTTCCTAAGAGACTCAAAGTCCTCGTCTGGATACCAGAGACAGTCGAGGAAAGTGAAGTCAGGATCTGGCTTGGGCGTCAAAATCCTAGCCTGAATGTGGGAGACTGGCTCTCACTTAGCAGGAAGGTTGATAAGACCATCGCCTTCTCCATCGACTTAGCGTTCTTTAGTGCCCTTGAGCAGACCCAGTTCAATTAGCGTACTATAAGCTCGGACGGGTCTTCTTCCGGGCACTGACGGGCGCTGAGTCTCGAAATGAGTATCGTTCAGGCGAACCTGTACCACAGTAGGGCAGCTTCGGCTGTTCTCTGTAAGGTAATGGAGATCTGTGACATTGCCTTAATACAAGAACCCTGGATAAACCAGGGTCAAATAAAAGGCCTAAAGGGAGTCGGAGTGGAACTTATACACAGTAGAACCTCTAACAGACCTAGGGCCTGCATATTAATAATAAAAGCATATAAAAGTACTGCCCTTTCCAAAATTCTGCAAGAGGTTATCTGACTCCGGTACACATAAAAACGAACGGAGGAGGGCCGAAGGACATTATAATCGGATCGGCTTATCTTCCTTTCGATGACCCTGACCCACCACCACCAGAGTCTGTGGAGGAGCTAGTGAGGTACTGTAGAGGAAATTGATCTCAGTTGATCATTGGCACGGACGCAAATGCGCACCACCCTTTCTGGGGAAGCACAGACCCTAGAGGCGAAGCTGTGCTGCAATTCTTTATGGCAAATAATCTAGACATAATGAATAAAGGTAACAGGTCTACCTTTGCCACCACTTTTGTCAGCAATTTCATAAAAAAACTGGAGTGTGTCAGAGGAGGAGAGTTGCTCGGACCACAAACACATAAGGTTTGAAATCTCGGGAATACAAAGGACCGTAGAAATCTACCGTGATCCTCGGAAGGCAAATTGGGAAGCCTTTGGGGCAGACCTAACTAGCAAACTGACGAGAATTAAATCAATGGTAAGGAATGAGACTGAGGTGGAACTGGTCGCGGAGCAATTGACTGACGCGATCAT